CAGATATTCAACTTTGTAAGACAGTGCCAAATTATTTTCCTGGATGATTAAGCTCCCTGAGCAGCACTTGTCATCTGATTTCTTTTCCACTCACCCTGCCCCTGTGCAATGTCACCACCCAGCTTCCAATCTATTGGGAATACAATGGTACCTTGTTTGGTTTTCATTTCAGTTATGCATGAGGGTGATCATGTTTTCATATGTTTATGAAATTTTCATGTTGCCTCCCTGTAAAATGTCTGTTCATGTCTTTTGCCTATTTTTCTATGAGGTTGCACTTTTAAAAATTTATTTGTAAAAATCCTTTGTATATTCTGTATTCTACTCCTTTACTAATTTTATCTGTTGCAAATATCTTCTCTAAGGTTTGTGCTTTGGCCTTTAAATTTCTTTCTGGTGTCTTTTGACAAGGAAAGATAAGGTTGCAATTTTAATGTAGCTAGATTTATCAATCATTTCTCTTATAATTTGTGCTTTTGAGGCAGGAGAATAAGGTCTGGAGGCAGGAAACCTAAGGCCAATTTGCACTGACTTCATAGAACTGAATCAGAAGGAAAACCCCAACTTTCCACGCCCAAGTAGCAAAAAAATTAGAGGCTACTCCCTTTGCAACCTTCCACCCCACTCTGTGCAGCAGATGAAAAATGGAAAGTACCTCTGTATTAGTCTGTTTTCACTCTGCTGATAAACACATACCTGAGACTGCCTAATTTATGAAAGAAAGAGGCTTATTGAACTGAACAGTTACATACGACTGAGGAGGCCTCACAATCGTGGCAGAATGCAGGGAGGAGCAAATCACATCTTACGTGGATGGCAGCAGGAAAAAGAGAGGTTGTGCAGAGAAACTTGTTTTTGTTTTTTTTTTGTTTGTTTTTCTTTTTCTTTTTTAGACAGAGTTTTACTCTTGTTGCCCAGGCTAGAATGCAATGGTGCCATCTTGGCTCACCACAGCCTCTGCCTCCTGGGTTCAAGCTGTTCTCCTGCCTCAGTCTCCTGAGTAGCTGGGATAACAGGCATGTGCCACCACACCTGGCTAATTTTGTATTTTGGTCAGGCTGGTCTTGAACTCCCAGCCTCAGGTGATCTGCCTGCCTCAGCCTCCCAAAGTACTGGGGATTACAAGCGTGAGCCACTGCACCCAGCTGAAATTCCCATTTTTAAACCATCAGATCTTGTAAGACCCATTCACTATCATGAGAACAGCATGAGAAAGACTTGCCCCATGATTCAATTGTCTCCTACTGGGTCCCTCCCACAACACATGGGAATTATGGGAGCTACAAGATGAGATTTGGGTGGGGACATAGAGCCAAACCATATCAACCTCTGATTGGTACTCTCTTGCAACCAATCAGACTGGTAGCTGGCGTAGTCTTCATTTGTATAGGGATATAACTTTGTTATTTCACTTCAGCCTCTGGTCCCTTCCTATAACCAGTCAGACATTTTCATAGGGTTTAATTTTGTAACTTCACTTCAGCCTCTGATTGGTCACCTTCCATAACCAATCAGACTGGTCATGGACCTCTCCTTTATTTACAGAGTGTAAACCAAGTAACCAATGGGAAACCTTTAGAGGGCATTTAAAACCCAAAAATTCTGTAACCAGCCCTCTTGAGTGGCTAGCTTGAGCCTGCTCCCATTCTGTGGAGTGTACTTTCGTTTCAATAAATCTGTACTTTTGTTGCTTATTTCATGACTTTATTGTGCATTTCTTCCAATTCTTTGTTCAAAACACCAAGAATCTGGATGACTTGTAGTCAAGGCCTTCCACTGGTAACATTTTAGGAAATTCTTTCTTACCTTTAAGTGATAAGAAATATTTCTATATTTTTTCTTTATTTTTTTTTTAAAGTTTGCTCTTAAAATTTAACTTCTTAAGCCATATGGGAATTTCTTTTCCTTATAGATAGAAAATTTTCTTGCACCTTTTAGAAAATAGTCCTCTTTCTCAGATTGGTGATGCCATCTCTCTTGTTTCCATGGCTCTGTGTCTAGAAACTCTGCTGTTTTCCACTAGTAAAGTCATCTATCCCTGCATCAACACCAACTTCCTTACTTACATAGCTGTAAAATGTCTTGATACTTTCCCATCACTGCTTTATTATTCTTTAGGAATGCCTTGGTTATTGAGTTTTTTAATCTTTCAAATGAGTTTAGAATCTGCTAGTTAAGTTCTGATTAAAAAAAAAAAAGTTGTGGTTTTTGATGAGACACTGACGTGGGAGAATCACTTGTGCCTGGGAGTTCGAGGCTATACTGAGCTATGATCACACCACTGCATTTCATCCTGGGTGACAGAGAGAGACCTTGTCTCAAAAAAAAAAAAAAATGTTATGTTAGCTCTAGGTTTTTGGTATGTAACTTTATAGGTATTAAAAATTTCTCTTATTTTGACACAAATTTTTTTCTTTAGTCATAGAGGGATATTATATTTTATAAGATACTTTTTCTGCCTTATTTGGAATGGTCTTTTTCTTTAATTAGTTAATTAATGCAGTATATGATGTTTACACATGTTTAGATAATCCAAGTAAAATTACAGACAGTTGGGGTTTTATTATTTATTTATTTACTTATTTTTGTTTTATTTTTGAGACGGAGTCTTACTCTGTCGCCCAGGCTGGAGCGCAGTGGCGCGATCTCGGCTCGCCACAACCTCTGCCTCCCGGGATCAAACTATTCTGTCTCAGCTCCCTGGGCAGCTGGGATTACAGGCATGTACCACCACGCCCAGCATTTTTTTTTTGTATTTTTAGTAGACACGGGGTTTCGCCATGTTAGCCAGGCTGGTCTCAAAATCCTGACCGAAGGTGATCCACCTGCCTTGGCCTACCAACGTTTATTCTTATTTTTGGAGAGAAAGGGAGTCATGCTATATTTCCTGGATGCTCTCAAACTCCTGGCCTCAAGTAAACCTCGGCCTCAGCCTCGCAAACTACCGGGATTACTGGGTGTGTGCTGCTGTGCCCAACAATCACAGAACTGTTAATACGCCACATTTCTCAAAACCTACCTCTTTTCTGCCCCGAGTCTTTCTATAACAGTGGCCCCCAAATTGAGATTTTAGTATGATAGTATGTAAAACTTAATAGGTAAATCAGCCATGTTTCCTTTCAGTATCCTACAGTTCCCTTACCAACGTCAAACCACCCTTGAGTTTCTGAGGTATAAGAAATTCGGGTTAGTTGTTCCTTGTTTCTAATATTTGCAACTTTGTTCATGAATGAGAGTGACCTGCGCTTTTCCTCTCTTACACTGTTCTTTCAGGTTTGGAGATCCATGTCGTAGAGGCTTCATAGAATGGGTTAGTTCCTTTTTTCTTTCCTTTATTTATTTATTTATTTATTTTTTGAAACAGTCTCATTCTGTCACCCAGGCTGGAGTGCAGTGGCACAATCTCAGCTCACTGCAACCTCCACCTCCCGGGTTCAAGTGATTCTCATGCCTCAGCCTCCCAAGTAGCTGGACTACAGGTATGAGCCACAACACCTGGTTAATTTTTGTATTTTTAGTAGAGGTGAGGTTTCGCTATGTTGGCCAGGCTGGTCTCGAACTCCTGGCTTTAGGTGATCCACCCTCCTCGTCCTTTCAAAGTGCTGGGATTAACAGGTGTGAGCCACCATGCCCGGCCTCCTTTACTTTTCCTTGAAATTTTGCATAAATTTTGACACTCTGTTTCAAAAGTTTAGATTTTATCTGTAAAACCTTCAAGTCTTTCTTGGTATCTTCTTTGTAGAGACACTTTCATCTTCCAATTAACTTTTTGTAAGATTATAGGAACTTCTTAATTTTGATAATTTTATTTTTCTAGGAGTTCGTTCACTTGGTTTATGTCTCGTTAGTCATTCTGTGTTCACAGAAAGTAGATCTACTGAGGCTTTCCTATGTGCTTGTAAACGCCTTGATATAAGAGGATTTTAGGCTCCTTATCATCTTTTTCGTCTTTTATAGGTATCATCTGTTCACATCATGATCAGCTAGGCAGGTGATCAACATTCATTTATGTGCAGTTCAGGTGACTGTTCTCTTAACTCATATTTCTAGAAAGATACTTTTCTTATTTCCTCAAAGCCGATTGTCTTAGATTTTCAACAAGAATAGGTGAGGTGTTTCTTAGCTGGCCCCACCTTGTCTAATGTACCCAGTTGTATAGGGAATAAAATGATTAGTTTAATGATTTAGCATCACAAAATAACCATGGTTATTATTTTGAATTTGGATTACATGATGTGGTACTGGAGCTATAAAAAGGCACTTAAAAAGAAAAAAAGATAGGCTGGGCACGGTGGCTCACGCCTGTAATTCCAGCACTTTGGGAGACCGAGATGGGCGGATAATGAGGTCAGGAGTGGAAACCAGCCTGACCAACATGGTGAGACTCTGTCTCTATTAAAATACAAAAATTAACCAGGTGTGGTGATGCTCACCTTTAATCCCAGCTACTCAGAAGGCTGAGGCAGGAGAATTACTTGAACCCAGGAGGTGGAGGTTGCAGTGAGCTGAGATCACGACACTGGACTCTAGCCTGGGTGACAGAGGAAGACTCGTTCTCAAAAAAAAAAAAAAAGAAAACCAAAAAATACAAAAAAAGAAAGAAGACAATAATAATAACAAAACCTTAATTTAATACTTTTAAAAATCTCTTCTTAACATCTTATCTTCTAAAATTTAAATGCATAGAACATTTTATTCAGTGGGAAACTTCTGGATAGTCTGTCTTCATATGAAAGGATAATGTAGGAATTAAAGTAACTCTTTGAGATCTTTCAAGAGAATAGATTATAATTCCATGCTGAGCAACAAACTAATTTGTCATCATTAAAGACTGTCCATTTATTAGCCACGTTCAAGGTCAAGTCTAACCAGGCATGGTGATACTCATCTTAGGCATAAGCTAAGAGTGTGCAGTAACAGCCCGAAATTCAAGTGTTCATAGAGTATCAAACAGCTGCTTGAAATATGGAATTCATTGGTACTCTGAAAATGTTTCGCAGGAAGAAGCTGTTTGTTTTGATTCTGAGCTGGATGAACATATTAAATGGTTTCAGCAAGAATATGTGAAAACAGAAAAGAACTGGAGAGAAATTGACAAGAGAATGAGCCAAACTTTGGAAATAAGAAGAAGGATGATTGGCAGCCGAACACCTCTGAAGGATATTCTTCAACTGTTTCCTTTCTTGAAGTGCCCTTATCAGGTATCTTTATTCACTTATAATATATATATATATATATATATATATATATATATATGAAATACATATATACATTTTGCTCTGTCACCCAGACTGGAGTGCAACGGCCTGTGATCTCAGCTCATTGCAACCTCTGCCTCCCAGGTTCAAGCGATTCTCCTGCCCTAGCCTCCTGAGTAGCTGGGACTACAGGCAAGCACCACCACACCCAACTAATTTTTGTATTTTCAGTAGAGATGGGGTTTCACCATCTTGACCAGGCTGGTCTTGAACTCCTGACCTCAGGTGATCTGCCTGCCTTGGCCTCCCAAAGTGCTGGGATTACAGTGTCCAAATGTATTTCTCCCTCTTTCCTCTTGGAGTGGTAACAGGACAGCATAGCAAGACAGTGGGCATGAATCTCAGTAGGGCAGGAGACCCAAAGGGCTGCAGCTAGAGTTATTTGATAGGAATTTCAGGAAACAGACCCTCCCTCCCTACCCTCTTTCCTAACCCTGAAAAAGGAAAATTAAAAAAAAAAAAAGAATTTCAGGAAGCATATTAATATAATAGGCACTGGCTGCCTTCAGAACTGAAGAGTTCTCTGTCGTTGGACATATTGTAGAGGCTGGTGGATCATTACTTAGTGGGTATTTTGACAATGTGAATCATTATTCTCTTTCATGCTTTTAGATACTCAAGATAGTTTATTAAGGAACTGTTATTATGCATCCTTACTCAAAACATGTTTCCTTTATGATCCAAAATGATTTCATAAGTGTTCTTAAAAATACATGAAATTTAGGGCTGGGCACGGTGGCTCATGCCTGTAATCCCAACATTTTGGGAGGCTGAGGTGGGTGGATTGTTTGAGCCCAGGAGTTCAAGACCAACCTGGGCAACCTGGTAAACCCCATCTCTACTAAAAATACAAAAATGACCGAAGCCTAGTGTTGTGTGCCTGTAGTCCCAACTATTCAAGGAGGTTAAGGCAGGAGGATCACCTGAGCCTGGGGAGGTCAAGGCTGCAGTGAGCCATGATTGGGCCACTGCACTCCAGCCTGGGTGACACAATGAGACCCTGTCTCAAAGAAAAAAAATGTGTGTGTGTATATATATGTGAAATTTAATGAGTAAATCAAATACCCTTCCATTTAGTTCACTTAGAGTGGCCATTCAAGGGTCTTTCACAATTTTAGTGAATTTTTGGTGGTGGTATATGATGAAAGATCATCAAAGATTTTACCCAAGTACATACATATTTCATGGAGAAATTCTGTGGAGTCAGTTTACCAAATTAAACACGAAACATCTATGTATTTTTCTTCCAAGCAAAAGGGAAATAAGAGTTTGCCTGTATGACTTTAATAGTAATGGAAGTAGCAAACATCTGAATGCTGCTCTGTAGCAGCATGTTCTCCGTGCTTTACATGGATAAATTTACCTAATCCTCTCAGCAACCATATCATGGCTTTTGCTTGTTTCCCCTTAATCTTCGGCTTGTTAGGAACTGTGATAGTCAGTCGCCTCTGGCTATTAGAAGAGTATGCCAAATTGACACACCTGCAAAATACGGGTTTAAAACAAAAGCCTGTCAAATTTACGGTCTATACACTTCTTACATGTAGGGAGCATGTTTTAATATTAACAGTCCCCAAAGTGCCTAGCAGAGTACCACATGTGACACAGCAATGCAAACTCTATTTTTTGAATGCTGAATTAGTAGAGGTAGGTTAGGCTGTTGTGGTCACTAATGTCGCAGCCTTAGGGGTTAAGCAACTTTTCAAAGAACGATTGGTGACAATAAGGCAGAGAGAGATCTGCCATAGCTTGAGTGAGGAGCAGAGAGATTTCAGACCTGAGGCTGTGTCTCCTGTGCCTTGTTGAGGCTTCCCACTGTGGCATAGGTGTATCTTCCCCCACCATTCCTCAAGTATTTCACTGTTTATATCCAAAATATGGAGTATGGGTTTTGTAACGACTGTACTTATTGAATAGAGTTGTCTATTTATTTATGCGGAGTCTTACTTTGTCGCCCAGGCTGGAGCGCAGTGGCACAATCTTTGCTCACTGCAGCCTCTGCCTCTCGGGTTCAAGTGATTCTCCTGCCTCAACCTCCCAAGTAGCTGGGACTACAGTTGCACGCCACCACGCCCAGCTAATATTTTGTATTTGTATTAGAGATGGGATTTCACCATGTTGGTCAGGCTGGTCTTGAACTCCTGACCTCAGGTGATCCACCTGCCTCGGCCTCCCAAAGTGCTGGGATTACAGGTGTGAGCCACCGCGCCCCACCTTATTGTTTTAAACAAAAGAAGGAACCATTTTCAGTTTTTCCAGGAAGTACCTCCCCAACTCAGCCCTGATTAGGCTGGGATTTACAATTTATAAAACCGTTGTTCTGCTTCCTAAAATAGAAGCAAGTTTGTCCTTAGAAATGCCTAGTTAACAAATGATCCCATAAGAGGACAGTTGCCCCTGTTCCAAATCACCCCCACCACCCGTTGCTCCCGCCATTGTGAAAACACTGTTTAGGAAGCTGGTGGAGACAGAGTGGCAGAATAGTAGCAGTTAGGCAGGGGTGGGGGGTGGTCCTAGCTGTTAACACTGACCCTCCATCGCCCCCATGCTCATTAACCTCCTTCCTCAAAAAACTTTCTTTCACCAGAAAATTTAAAATTTCAGGCCTGGTGCGGTGGCTCACGCCTGTAATCCCAGCACGTTGGGAGGCCGAGTTGGGTGGATCACGAGGTCAGGAGTTCACAACCAGCCTGGCCAAGATGATAAGATCCCAATCTCTACTAAAAATACAAAAATTAGCCAGGCATGTTGGCTGGCACCTGTAATCCCAGCTACTCGGGAGGCAAGGCAGGAGAATCGCTTGAACCTGGGCGGCAGAGGTTGCAGTGAGCTGAGATCACGCCACTGCACTCCAGCCTGGGTGATAGAGTAAGACTCCATCTCAAAAGAAAAAAAAAATCAGAATGTAACAATTTATTAGATAACCTAAAATACCATCAAGTAGGAATGTGTTACTGAGATCTATTGGATGTTGCACAAGACAAGTAGGAGGGAGTTGAGAGAAGGAAAATACCAAACACAAACTGATACCCTTCCCCACATTTTCCAGAAAATCCTATCAGATGCCATAGTTTCTGCCTTCCTGAGAAACAATTTCAATCATCATCTCTTCATCTAAGTGAAGTACATGAGAATCGCCAGCTAATAAAGTCTCAAAAAATTTTAAAAATAACCTGAGTTTGGTTTTGGCCCAAATGGAGTAACAGGTACTGGTCTAGTCTTCCCACTGTTAATACAGATAAAGCTGGGAAAAAAGTACGCACAAGGCAACTGCACTCAGGCATTAGGTAATGGGCATTGCAGGACTCTGATCCTTGATAACAGGGAAACACATACAATGTGCCTCAGTTTAGTACGTGGGTTACTTTCTAGTTCACTGTATAGAATGGTGGGAGGCAAGCAGAATGCAGAGGTCTCACGGAGCTGCACAGGAAGAGACTAGAGTTGAGGAATGATGAAGCAGCTGGCCTTTGTAGGACAGGCACTGGAGGAAATCGGGCTGGGGCTGAAGTCTACACAGGGATCCCCTGGGGATCCTTGGCTGAGAGCCTAGACTTCACACAGTGTTGATAATAAGAATTCTTGGTTAGGCATGATGGCTCACACCTGTGATCCTAGCACTTTGGGAGCCCAAGGCAGGCAGATCACTTGAGGCCAGGAGTTCAAGACCAGCCTGGCTAGCATGGTGAGACCCTGTCTCTACTAAAAATACAAAAATTAGCTAGGAGTGGTGGCACACACCTGTAATCATAGCTACTCAGGAGGCTGAGGCAGGAGAATGGCTGGAACCTTGAAGGTGGAGGCTGCAGTGAGCCCAAATCATGACACTGTACTCCAGCCTGGGCAATGGTGCAACACTCTGTCTCATAAAAAAAAGAAAAGAAAAAAAAAAGAATTCTGGCCCAGTGTGTAGAGACCCTGCTGAACATCTCAGACATCCATCTGAGACTCCAGAAAGCAATGCCTCTTGAGTAAGAACCATGCCTAAGCTTGAGCCAGGACCTTAGCTAGGACTAAGGACAAACACAAAAACAGAATTGCCCAAAGAAATGATAAAATCAAGTCTGACAGGACCAGAAGATCAACCAGTAATTTGTCTGCCTATCAGAACAGAATTTAACACCTTTTAAAGGAACATAACTGAATCCAGATTCCCCACTAGTAAATCACTGGAGATTACAGTGAGTGGTGCCATTCCCATTTCCAACTCTTCGTTCCTGGACCCGTGAATTGGCTATGGAAGAAACTGCACCGTATGCTGGATGCTGATGCAGAACTTATTCAGCCTGGGAGAACTTTGTCCCAGCCCCACAAGGTATTGCCACCTAGCTGGTGCTGTAACTGAGTCTTCAACAGGCCACTCCACCAGCCTGGCAAGCCAGCTATTTCAGGACAGGGTGGTGGGGAACATGGTAGGACCAGTGAATTCCATGTGTCGTCACCACAGGGAATCTTAGCAGGGAAATGAAATACACACACACACACACACACACACACACACACACACACACACACACACCAAATTGAAATTCCGAGCTGAAAAGAACATTTATCTGAAATCAAAACACCATGTGCATAGGCTTAAGTGCATATTGGAAAATGAAAAGAAAGGAGCTGTGAATCTGAAAATAGATTAATAGAAATTAACCAATCTGAGTAACAGAAAGAAAAAGGATTAAGGCTAGGTGCAACGGCTCACGCCTGTAATCCCAGCACTTTGGGAAGCTGAGACGGACGGATCACGAGGTCAGGAGATCAAGACCATCCTGGCCAACATGGTGAAACCCCATCTCTACTAAAAATACAAAAAATTAACTGGGCATGGCTGTGCATGCCTGTAGTTCCAGCTACTTGGGAGGCTGAGGCAAGAGAATTGCTTCAACCTGGGAGGCAAAGGCTGCAGGGAGTGGAATTTGTACCACTGTACTCCAGCCTGGGCCACAGAGAGAAACTCATCTCAAAAAGAAAAAAAAAGAAAAAGGAAAAGGATTAAGATGATTAATTTGTGGGACATATCTGAGGTTGCGAAAAGGGAGACTTTTTTTTTTTTGTTCCAACTTTTATTTTAGGTTCAGCAGGGGTTACATCATGCAGGTTTGTTCTGTAAGTAAATTGCATGTTGTGAGGGTTTGGAGTACAGGTCATTTCATCACCCAGGTAGTGAGCATAATACCTGATAGGTAGTTTTTCAATCCTCACCTTCCTCCTACCTACTAATCTCAAGTAGGCTCCCACGTCTATTTTTTCCCTTCTTTGTGTCCATGTGTATTCAGTGGTTGCTCCCACTTGTAAGAAAGAACATACAGTATCTGGTTTTCTATTCCTGCATTAATTTTCTCAGAACAATGGCCTCCAGCTGCATCTATGTTGCTGCAAAGGACATTATTTCATTCTTTTTTATGGCTGTGTAGCATTCCATGGTATACATGTACATTTTCTTTATCCAGTCCACCATTGATGGGCATCTAGGTTGATTCCATGTTATTGCTATTGTGAACAGTGCTGCAATGAATATATATGTGCACATGACTTTTTTTTTTTTTTGAGATGGAGTCTCGCTCTGTTGCCCAGACTGCAGTGCAGTGGTGCAATCTTGGTTCACTGCAACCTCCACCACTTGGGTTCAAGCGATTCTCCTGCCTTAGCCTCCCGAGTAGCTGGGACTACAGGTGCACACCACTATGCCTGGCTAATTTTTTGTATTTTTAGTAGAGATGGGTTTTACCATGTTAGACAGGATGGTCTCAGTCTCCTGACCTCATGATCTGACTGCCTGGGCCTCCCAAAATACTGGGATTAAAGGTGTGAGCCACTGTGGCATGCGTCTTTATATTCCTTTGGGTATACACCCAGTAATGGGATTGCTGGGTCAAATCGTTCTGTTTTAAGTTCTTTGAGAAATCTTCAATTTGCTTTCCACAATGGTGAACTAATTTATATTCCCACGAGCAGTGTATTAAGTGTTTGAGAGGGAGGCTTTTTTGTGGCTGACCGTTCCCAGTTAGGAGCTTGGCTGCAGACATTTGTGCTCATAAGTAAATACATTGAGATATAATGGGAGCCAGGAATCTCATTGTTGAAGAGAATTGAGTTAGAAGCATGGAACGGGAAGGATAGGACAAGCTCTGTGATATTGGTTTGGAATTCAAAGTATCAATGTGAACTCATGGTTTTAGTATTTATGTATAGCTATTTAATATTGACATATGGATATATAGTTATCTATGTTTCTGGGTCAATGGGTGCCTGTGTTTAAGCAAATTCAAACATTTCCTAGATTTCTTCTATGAGAAAGTCTAGAACAGTAACATCTCTGTAGCAAGTGGCACACCAGGGCTGAAATCTTGGTGGCTTTTTTTGGTTGGGTATTTTCTTTGAGATAGAATCTCACTGTGTTGCCCAGGCTGAAATGCCATGATCATGGCTCACTGCCGCCTTGGCCTCCCAGGGCTCAGGTGATCTACCGCAGCCTCCTGAGTATCGGGGACTACAGGCGTGCGCTACTGTGCCTGGCAAATTTTTGTATTTTTTGTAGAGACAGCATTTCGCCATGTTTCTCAGGCTGGTCTGAAACTCCTGGGCTCAAATGATCCTCCTGCCTTGGCCTCCCAAAGAGGCATGAACAACAGTGCCTGGCCTGAAATCTTAGTTTTTAAAGGCCATTCTTCATGAAAAGTAATCAGAGTTCTTGGAAAATGGCTCACTACAGGGTTGGGGCAAAACAAAAATGAAAACGACAACAAAACAAGATGAGTCTGAAACACTGTGTAATGCCAGAAATTAAGGATGTGCTTGCAGACTAATAAGGATATGCCAAGAGGGCAAGACAGTCCGTCTCAAGTGGCTCCTACTGGCCAAGTCTGGACAATTTGAGCAATTATATAAATAATGAAAGGATCAGATTTGTAACTGTTTGGGTAAAATGGGAATGTATTAACCTGTAGTGATAGAAATAAATGAATAAGTAAATGTATGTGAAAAAAAAAGAAACTATCTTAAAATAGCCAACGTATAAATGTAGAAAGAATGGAATTCAAAGTCTCCATTTGGCAGCTACAGCAGTACTCGACTCAGGCAAGAATCATCAATGGATGTTGAATCTGATGGATCAGTTATACAAGGAATAAGATATTTACATAAATTCAAGATATCTCCTCATAAAACACAACATATATTAACTTTACAGTGGAAAAACTTGGCGAATTTCATTTTTTAATCAAGTAATAAAATTTATTATCTCCAATACGGGACCAGTTACCATTTTGTGCTTTGGATGCAGTGAGAAATGCTAACATTCTTGCCAGAAATGCATAAATCCTGAGGAAACATCATAAAACCTCCAAGGAGAAATGTTCTACAAAGTAACTGGCTTCCACTTTTCAGAAACGGTCAAGGAAATGAACAAGTTGTTTCAGACTGGACACTAGAGAGACGTGGTATCTAAATCTCCTGTGATCCTGCATTAGATCCTGGACCTGTTAAGGACATGACTGGAACAACCAGAAAATTTAAATGGAATGTAGAGTAGATTTTCCTGACTTTGAGTGTCCTTGTACTTAGGAAATACACAATAAGGTGTTAAGGAATGGTGGGGCATTATGTCTACAGCTCATTTTCAAATGGATCAGAAATTGGGGGAAGTTGCAGAGGGTACTTGTGAGTTCTTACCATTTCTGCAACTTTAATGTAAGCTTGAAATTGTTTCAAAATAAAAAGTCAGAAAAGAAATTCTTAGGCTATGAGCCTAGAACAGTGGAATATTCACCTTCTTCATCCTTTGCTTCACATCTTCCTGCTGAGAAAACTGTTTTCTAAGGGTATTAATCTGGGTTAGTGGTCCACTGTGGGTTGCCTAGTAACAAAGCCACTATGCCTTTACGAGAATAAGCATTCCAGCTTTCTGACAACTTAACTTTCAGACCTAATCTCTGGGCAATTTATGATCTACCAAAACATTCAAGAAACAGTGAAGCCCAGCGGGTAGTATGTGATTGTTCTTAATAGTTTTAGGAAAAGCAATGACTAAATTCATTCATGCAAGTGTGGGTGGCTAATAATCTGATAATACCACTCTTTCAAAAACAACTGGGGAGTGGTGGTAGAATCCTCTGAGGGGGAAGAATTCAGGCAGTGGTACGAAGGGGTAATGTGAGGAAAGGGACTTCCATAAAGTAAATTGGTTTGCTTTGACCTTGTAGTCAAATACATTGTTTCTCTTTCTTTTCTTTTGAGACAGGGTCTCACTATGTTGCCCAGGCTGGAGTGCAGTGGCATAGTCTAGTTCACTGCAGCCTTGATCTCCCCGGACTCAGACAATCTTCCCACCTCAGTCTCCTGAGTAGCTGGGACTATATGTGTATATCATCATGCCTAGCTAATCTTGGTATTCTTTGTAGAGGTGGGGTTTTGCTCTGTTGCCCAGGCTGGTCTCAAACTCCTGGGCTCAAGTGATCCTTCTGCCTTGGCCTCCCAAAGCACTGGGATTAAAAGCATAAGCCACCATGCCCGGCCATACATTGTTTTGCACTGTTTACCTCTGTCTACCCTTACAGTGTTTCTAAAGCACTCTCCTTTCCCTAAACTTAGGATACTATGGTTACGTATTTTTCAGGGGCTGCTTCCTAAAATCTGACAGTTTTGTTCTTTGCTGCTCGTTGAACAAGAATAACAATGTAGTTTACCTAAACAAATGTAAGTTCCTAGAATCTTAGCTGGGTAACCCAAATAGCCTACATACGCATTTATCCTTTGAATCCTCATTTAGTTGAGTTTGGATCCAAAGTTTTAATTCTGTGGGTTTAGAAATCTGCCATATCCATTACTTATCTTTTCACAATCACTTTAGGCTTTCATTTTCTCCTCTCTCATCCTAAAGCTTCTAAAATATCTAGTACTTAGTTTAACCAGTATTCACAGCTTAATTCTAAAGGTTTTATGTCTGTAATTCTATATATTAGCTTTTTTTGTGATCTGATGTATCCACTGCTTTCTTCTTTTGTCAGATGTTCAGAGAGTTCCAACTTCTTACAAGAACCGATATTTGTAAGAAAACAAGGCACATTTTGGAATCCTATTCAGAAAATATACTGACTTCTTTCTCAGTGGTGGACAATCAAATCAATATTGCGTTGCAAGAGAAAATGAAACAGTACACGGATGAAGACATATTGAAACGTTAGTAAGCCTTGTGGAGTGGTGTGATTTGGTCTGTTATCTGTCAGGATACCTAGAAAAGAGTGCTTTGCTCATCAGTAAAATTCAGTAATTTACATTTATTGAGCTTAAAAATATATTTAAAAATTATTAAAAATTGACATGATTAAAATATATTTAATAATTTTCAGTATTTAATAAGTGAAACAGCTGGTGGGAAATAATAATTTTTCAAATAAGGGGAGGAGGAGAGGTATAGATTTTAAAAGTATACTGTATATTGTAAAATTATATTTACGGAACTAGTAACCTGTTAATGTTATAATACAAATCACAAAGGGCAGCATGATAAAATCTTCTTGGCTGATGGACAGACAGTACAGAACCCTTGTCTTTTCCTGGCAGCGCTCTGGAGGGCAGACATGAGACTTTGAATGTTTTATTGGAAGAGGGTGTGGTTTAAAAAGGTGTGAAACATTGATCTAAGAAGGCTAGTTTGTTCTCTGTCCAAGGTAACAAGAAAATCCAGATGTTTCAATAGTGGCCTAGCTTACAATTGCTAAAAGCTTATTTTTGCTTCAAATGTTAACATACTTGCTTTGACAGACATGAAGATGACAGCCACATGTTTACTCCTCCCAGATGTTTTTGGGGATGATCCCAGCCTTTTTGTCATCATGAATGAACAGGTGTGTAGTATGTGAATGGCCACTGGTTTGACATTTTACATCTTCATGCAGTAATTTGTTATTTATTTATTTATCTTATTTATTTATTTATTTATTTGAGATGGAGTCTCACTCTGTTGCCCAGGTTGGAGTGCAATGGCATGATCTTGACTCATTGCAGCCTCCGCCTCCCGGGTACAAGTGATTCTCCTATCTCAGCCTCCTGAGTAGCTGGGGTTACAGGCATGCATCACCATGCCCAGCTATTTTTTGTATTTTCGGTAGAGATGGGGTTTCATGGTATTGGCCAGGCTGGTCTCAAACTCCTGACCTCAGGTGATCCATCTGCTTTGGCTTCCCAAAGCGCTGGGATTGCAGGCATGAAGCCACTGAGCTCGGCCGTGATCATTTATTTAAAAGCAAATTTAGTGGTGTGTTTTGAAGTATGTTTGTCCTATTTACAAATATGCTACATTGCAACAAGCCCATTTATTGTAACATCATGATGAAGTTCAGGTCTGTTTCATTATTTAGCTATTTTACATATCATGGTAGTGACTCCATTCTTTTTTTCAGGTGCAAGTGTCCACACCTGTGTTAGAAGTTAAAAACCCTTTCAACATGGAGGTCTGCGAATTTTCTTTATATTTAGAAAGGGAGAGGCTCACGAAGGTGGATAACTGTGTTACAGCCTTGGCTGCACTAGTAGCTGCCTTTCATGTATTTGGGATTGAGTATCCAAGAAGACTGTCCCAAACATTCAACTTCTTAGAAACACTGATTTTTGATATGCACAGTCCCTATTTTCCTTCTTTGAAAGAAAAGGAAAAGGAGGTAGGATTTCAACACCCAGTCACCTAATAGTACGCCACATATTGTATCGGAATTTCCTTCCAGGAAAGCTGAAGCTTTATAAAAAATTGTTTTGATTTAGGGTTGTGGTAGAGGTAGGTGTAAGAAAATCACCTTGTATCATAGACGCCAATGAATTTCAATGCTTTCTATCTTTACACTTAGATATTAAGTTCTTTGTGAAATTCTGTAATAAAATTCTATTTAATTGAAGAGCTGTTGATTTGAGTTCTTAGAAATTTCATGGTTGAAGTTATATTTTCAGAGATGCCTCAGTTCTTTTGAAATACACCGTACTTCGGATTTACACAAATCTTTCAGGTTAGAGTATGGCCTCGATTGAACTCAGTGTGTCCACGTAATGCCCAGGAGCTGCACATCTGTGGCCTGTGTGCTCTGTCTCTTTGGTCTGAACATCACTTGGGAACATTTTGAACTTGTATGTTTCAAGAAGGGACACATACTCTTTTCTCCCTCAGGTGATTTGCCTTGCCCTAGGAGATCTGGTCGTCTTCAATCACTTGTTGAGAATAAGGGCTGTGGTAATTCTGAAGTCTCTTCACTGCTGGCTGATCTTGCTGGGACAGGTCCTGATGTCTGTGACCTGTGTTCATCTGCTACTGCTTCTCGCCTTGGAGACACAGTGACTCTTCCTGCATGCCCAACCGGCTACTGCCCAGAGTCCAGTTCTATCTGTTCTGCTCTTAACAATGGCTGCATAAGTACCTTTTGGGTCTAACAAGACTCAGTGCACTCTCACTCTTTCCAATTATTTCACAAGGTTAAAAACTATAGTTTAAGGTGCCCTTTGATGTTATCAAAATATCAGCATTATTTATTAGCTTTGAAAGATAGACCAGGTCCTTTTGGGGACAGAAAAGAGATTTAAGTGTATTAAAATACCTACACATCATAATGGGATGAGCGTTTCCTGGACTACAACATCAGGTTAATTTTTTTTAAGTTTAAGAAAGGTTCATGTGGGCCAGGCGCAGTGGTTCATGCCTGTAACTCCGGCACTTTGGGAGGCCAAGACCAGTGGATCACCTGAGGTCAGGAGTTCGAGACCAGCCTGGCCAACAGTAAAAACCCATCTCTATTAATAATAAAAAAAATTAGCTGGGTTTGGTGGTACATGCCTGTAGTCCCAGCTACTTGGGGGTCTGAGGAAGGAGAACTGCTTGAATCTGGGAGGTCGAGGTTACAGTGAGCCAAGATCGTGCAATTACACTCCAGTCTGGGCAAGAGTGAGACTGTGTCTCAAAAAAATGAAACAAAAACAAAACAAAGGTTCATGTGAACTATTGAAGAAACAGTTTTACACTACCTATCTCTGGAAATACTGCACAGTATTTATTCTATCACTGAAATGACAACAGCCTGCTAGATACCTTTCTCTTTATGAGGACTGTTCATTAAAATGCTGAAGCCAGTGAGATAAAAGTCAAAGAACAGTTTCCCCTTTCTACAATGGCTATTATTTACATCAGAACACACAGGCAGAGTAAGTAACAATTTGGCACAAGTATTTTGCCTAATCTAGTTCCTATCTTCCTGTTCTCATTTCTTCCCTTTCACCAGAATGTACCTTTGTTTCCTTACAGACTTTTTTCCTTTATTTCCCCAAATTACTCATTTTGCCTTTTAGTAGTACTTTTTTTCCCAAAGTAAATTTCCCAAGTTCACACCCCTATGGCTGAAGTTGAATGACAGCCTCTCTCAGGCCAGGACAAGATGACAAGATGTAGCTACAAAGAAACTGCTTGGCTCCAAGCATGACACAGACATGGGCTGACCTTGAAGGCGGATTCAAGCTCATTTTATTGTCTTTCTCAATGGTATATCTATCCCCAGTGCCCAGCATGGTCTTGACACCTGATAAATTCAACATTGCTTGACCAACACACCCTATTTTATTTGGCGGTGGAGTCTACTGAATCTAGATGTTGCAGAATGGCAGCCTGAGAATAAATATCAGCCTGTAGAAAGGTTTTTTTTCGTCTTGCGGTGTTTTCAATAGTTTTTTAAAGAATGCCTTTAGATGGGAAGGTCCTATCAAGGTCTGTATTTTCCATTCCTCCCTTTTGTCTTTTTTTTTTTTTTTNTTTTTGAGATGGGGTTTTGCTGTGTTGTCCAGGCTGGTCTCAAAATCCTTGGGCTTGAGCGAGCCTCCTGCCTCAGCCTCCTGAGTAGCTGAGATTACAGGCTCGAGCCACTGAGAGCGGCTTCCAGTGTTTGTCTTACCCCAAGCCTGCATCTCTCATTTCAGAGATCTCCCTACGATCATGGTGCCCTGTTTCCTCTGTTAAAATTTAGACTATATCCCAGGGATGGAGTGGTGAGTGTTTTCACCTTTTTGAGGTACAGTGAATTCTGCCCCACCATATGGATGCTTAATGCCTTGGCATTAACATAAAAATCAGTTGGGAGGGGAGGCTTATGCCTATAATCCCAGCACTCTGGGAGGCGGAGTTGGGCAGATGACCTGAGGTCAGGAGTTCGAGACCACCCTGGCCAACATGGTGAAACCATGTCTCTACTAAAAATACAAAAATCAGCCAGCTGTGGGTGGCAGGTGCCTGTAAACCCAGCTACTCATGAGGCTGAGGCAGAATAATCACTTGAACCCAAAAGGCAGAGGTTACAGTGAGCTGAGATCACGCCACTGCACTCCAGCCTGGGGAATAGAGCAGGACTCTCTCCAAAAAAAAAAATAAATAAAATTTCATGATTTAAACTATGCTTTACACTAGAAAAGAAAACTTCCCAGTGGGGAGGAACTGGACTTGACCAACAATATAATCTTCAGTATTTTTGTAGCTCATCACATCATCCTGGGACACAGTTTGACAACTCTGAATCCTACAGATTCATTACACAACTAGTAATGTCTAAATACCTGATGCTCTTCCTGTTCTTGTTCTGCCTCTCCTATCTGAGCAGCTTTCTCAAAAATCATACATATGTAAAAAGCATCTGCAATTAAGATTTTATTTCATTCATATCAGATATAACAAGTACAACTTGAATGTACAAATTCTGAACAAAACATAAAAAAGGAAAAACAACAACAACCAAAAACTTTATTTAAGCAGATTCATGCAAATAAATGACTGGGACACTGCAGATGTCACTGACCCTGTTTAACCTTGAATTGACAAATGTGAAGGACTGCTCATGGACTTCCAACAGGAACATCAAAGGAAGTCCTACATCAGAAAAAACTGAAAGCAACTAAAGAAGAGGTGGTGCTTTCCCCAGAATTCAGATAGCATGCTACAAACTTACTTTCTATTTTTAAAATAGTCCTTGAATAAATATCCATTCCTGGAATCAGAAAGTACATCAAAAGACTGACAAAATAATTTACCTTTTGCCTTAGAAATGCATTCTTGCAAAAGAAACACTACCAGCTATCAATTTATAATCAAGGGTTTTCATTTAAAGTGCATCTGTATGCTTATACATCGAGGCAAAGTATTCTACAGAAAAAGAAATCCTTCCAAAATGGAGGTTCTTGGATAATTACTTTGGGAAATCACCTCCCTGATCTGTAAGCATTTCAAATTTTGTGTCAACTGGAGTTGCTCCTTCACATCTTGTCTTTTCAGTAAAATCGAGACACTTGAGACACTCGCCCTTCAGCCAACCCTGAAAAAAACCTTTGGGTTTGGAGGACAAAGCATGACCTGAGACAGCGCTCTTTACAGATTAGTGTTTCTGTTGACAGAATGAGCTCTTGGTCTCTGTAAAGCATCACAATTTCATCAATGACAATTAGAAGCTCAAGATCATCTCATAAATAGTTCAAGACCCGCACAAACATCCCCCCAAACATAACTGCATACAACTGCATACTCCTCTGATACCATCTGGCTCTTGTAAACTCCGGGGCACCAAGATTCGTGAGACTGATGCCACTCAAATACACTACCTAATTTATTTATGTTTATATGCTTTATTTTTCAATTCTAAAATAATCTTAATGCTATATACATGTTTTTGGTAATTATAGTAAAGATGCTGGTGAAAAGTAATTTGTTTAACATTTCATAATGCGTGCAAAAGTAAAAACACTGATTCAAAGAAAAGTCATTCTTACAACTATTCAGCCCTGACAATTATGACAAGCAGTTAGGCAATATCATGACTTGCAAAGTTATACTTAGCATAATGTTGCAATTCAAAATATGGCACAAAATTAACGATACAGATAACAGCCCTACTGGCTAAACTTAGCCAGGTTTTGACTAATTTGGTTTAAATTGAAATTTGATTATATAAAAAGGTTTCTGAAAGTATTGAAAAAGAAACAGTGTACATGAAAGAGAATTCAACAATGTTTACAAAATGCCAAAAGTTCTTACTCTGCCCCCCCATTACCATAAATAATTAATGAAGTCCCCTTTTTCCCCCACCCCCCCACCCAGCCTCAAAAAGATTTACAAAGATAAATTTAGCTCAGTGAACAGAACCAAAAGATGACTGTTGTTAGACAGTACCTGGTTAAAAGCTCAAGCACTTTCATAAGAATTCATATATATTGTCTCTTGAGGAATATAAATAATCCGATAGTGTTGCTCTTTTGAGTTTTGGAGACTTCTCACTTAGGAGTTATAAACGTCCTTGTGCTTTGAATAAAACATGAGCTTGAAAGCAGAATGCTGATGGTATTCAGAATTCACCATCTTCAAAGTTCATTGTGAGAATTCTTCTCTGCAGCTTTGAACATCAGGATGGAATTGAAAATTTTCAGAGCAGGGCCCAGTTTAATGCTCATAATTTTAACAATGTCTGTTTGAGTCATAAGTAGAAATGCTTCTCCATCAATTTGCTAAAATGGGGGGAAAAACCAACAGAATATAGATTAATAAGATGCAGTGCTGTAGAATATATTCAAGATTAAGTTATTAGCATTGTTCTACATAGCAATGCTAAAAAAGCAGACACAGAGGTTCATGTGTGCAAAGACATTTCTTGATATATGGACCTTTCTTATCCACAACGACACACCCAAAAGTGGACTTGGAACAAAGTAAACTAATTCACCTGAAAAACCAGCCCGGAGGAAAACAGAAGGTGCCCATACCTTCCTGTGATTACTCTGAATTAGATGTAGAGTTAAGAAGAATATGGAAAAATCCAAGGTGCCCAAAATCTAGTTTGTATCACGGCAGGTTTTTAAATTAGAAGAGATAACAGGTACATGAATGTTCATGGACATAAAATAATTCAGGCAAACATATCAGCTACATGCAACAATTTGTTTTCCCAAAATCAGCCTTCCACCATGAAGAAAAACAGAAAGATAACATTTATTTCTAATGTGGCCACAATTAGTCTTTACACACAGAAGAAAAGCATTTACTAGCAAAGGCAATCAAATTGAATGTGAGGCTGGTGTTAAGAGTTACAGACTTTAAGGTGGTTCTTCTAATACTTGGGTAATCATGAGAAAGACCCTTCCTCTCTCTGGGTATCTTCTAAGACAAAAGTCTATGCTTCTGAAAAACAGGCTACTATTCTCTAGAAGTTCAAAGGTACAACACATCTTTTAGGTTAAAAGATAAAATACTATGAAGATGATGTCTGGCTTACTGGGCAGAGCAAAGAATCAGTCATTCAGTATGACTTTCAGCTCTTAGATAACTTTGTAACCTTAAAAAAAAAAAAGTTTCCCCTTCAGTTTTCCCACCTTGTACAAAAAGTAAAACACACTTTTGTTCTCTGCCTTAGAACATCAAAAACTTTGATAGCAAGGCACTCTGTTACGGGTTGAACTGTGTCCCTGTCATAAATTCATATGTTGATGTCCTGGAGTGTGGCTTTTATTTAGAAATAGGGTCAACACAGAGGTGACTGGTTAAGACGAGGTCATACTGGAGTAGGGTGGGTGCGTAATCCAATAAGACTGGTGTCCTCATAAAAAGGAGAGATCTGGATAAAGAAATAGACACGCATAAAGGAAAGGCAATGTAAAGACCCAAAGAGAGGCCACCATCTACAAGTCAAGGAGAGAGGCCAGGACAGATTCTTTCCTCACTGCCCTCCGAAGGAAGCGACACTGCCGACCCTGACTTCCAGCCTTCTTCAGATTCCCAGCTTCTCCAACTGTGAGACAATGCGCTTCTGCCATTTAAGCCACCAGTGTGCGGCTGGCATTGTTATGGTGGTCCTAGAAAACTCTAAATTCTGCAAACAGTTCTCTAAACAAAGGCTGATAAATAGCTACTTTTTAAGACTTTCCTCTCTCCTCTAAAAATGAAAGACCTGTAAATATTGACTACCTAAATGCTTAATCAGGAGGAACAAGAGTCATCTTATACAACTTCTTCAAGTAACAATTATGTGGAGAAAGTTTGCTAATTTCAGTAAAAAGACATCCTGCTGTTGTAAACCAGATGGAAAGACATTCCAGTGTTAATCTCCAAGTGCAGCACAGCAAAGTGACAGGTGTGAGGAATGTTCTCCTGTTTTTTGGAAACACTTGCTCTGTTCTCATTTGCCTGTGCTATGACAGCCCTCTGATAAAAAGCAAGGTCAGGAAGAAAGGCAGATCTATTAACACTTCACTCAACCAAGGCACACCTTAGTACAATGGACAGCCTTTTAGAAGTCTTCTAAGTCATTAACAAAAATGTCAACTGACATTCCCAAGGAGCCCACTACAAAGACTGATTGGTTTATCATAACCTTGGCCATGCTGAAGGCTTGTGGCAGACACCAAGTCTTCCGAGACTATGTAACAGTGTAACACAACAGAGGACTGATGAAAAGGAGCATCCAGAGAACTTAGTGGTTGGGATTTGAAGTTAAAAGTGGGACAGGAAGGATACATTTTGGTAGGTTGTTAGTCATAAGGTTACACACACTAGAAAGAAAAAAATCTTGAGGCTACTTCAAAACTCTTTATTACGTACATGTTGCTCTGACCTGTGGCCCTAAGAATAAGCCGTAATTGGAAGGAAGTAAACTTACCTCAAGAAAGTACATCTTAAGAACAACAGACCACTGCAATGTATGACAAGGCTTATTTTTTTTGTTTGCTTCTGTAATGCATATATACTGCTATAATTCCAGAGATGAGGTGTCTTGCTAATGGCCTAAATGAGGGAGAGGGATTTGGAATTCAGCAGCTCTTGCCTTCCATTTCCCTGCCCTTTCGACTGTGCACTGTTCTTTTCCAATGCCTTCACTTGAAACCACAGTGACATGCTCTGTCTGAATGAGCCTCTCCCAGAGTGAATGTCTACTATATTCCAAGCACTCTTCTTGGGCCTAGACATATAGCAGGGAATAAAAACAAAAACAAGCAAGCAAAAAACTTCTTGTGGAATTTACATTCTAGAAGTGGTAGACAGACCATAAGCCAATAAACATAGTTAAATAAGCCAACTAATTAATAAGTTAGAAAGTGACTTATGTTGCCCAGGCGCAGTGCTGATGCCTATAATTCCAGTACTTGGGAGGCTGAGGTTGGCAGATCACTTGAGGTCAGGAGTTCGAGGCCAGCCTGGCCAATATGGTGAAACCACATCTCTACTAAAAATACAAAAATTAGCCGGGTGTGGTGGCACACACCTGTAGTCCCAGCTACTTGGGAGGCTGAGGCATGAGAATCACTTGAATCCTGGAGGTAGAGGTTATAGTGAGTTGAGATTGTGCTACTGCATGCCAGCTTGGGCGACAGAACGAGACTCTGTCACAAAAAAAAAAAAAAAAAAAAGATGATTTGCACTATGATTAAACAGAGCTGACTAGAAAGATGAATGGGCAGCAGGAGCAGGGATGCATATGTAGCAACAAGAGGCAATTTCAAGTAGGACAGTCAGGGTAGGACTCATTGGTAAGCTGGCAACTGAGCAGGAGTAAGCCATGTGAACTTCTGGAGGAAGAATGTTCTGGGCAGAAGGAAGAGTGGGAGCAAGCCTGGACAATCAGAGGAACAGCAAGGAGGCCAGCACGTAGACCTATGGGGGCAGCGTAAACAAAGGGCCAGGAGTCAAGGTAGTGAGGTGTCCAGCTGCAGGCCCTTGTGAGGAGTTCTACTTTTACTCTGATTGAGAGACGAAGCTACTGGAAGGATCTGAAGAAAAGAGTGACATGGTTTGACTTATGTGTCAGCAGGGTCACCCTGGCTGTGTTGGGAACAGACTGTAGAGGAGCAAAAATAGAAGCAGGAAAATGAGTCTGGAGGTTACTGCACTCATCTGGGTGGGAGACAATGGTGGAGCAGACCAGAATGGTGGTGGCCATGGCAGTGGAGTGATAGGGTCTTTATATGTTTCAAAGATACACCCAATAGGATTTTCAACAGATGAGATGTGGCATGTGTAAGAGAGAAGTCAAGGATGCTTTCCAACAAGAGCCTATGTGAATACTTGTACTTTGCCTTTTAGAGATGATTTATAAGACTTCAGTTAAATTTGTACTATATTTTACTTGTAGAACCCAAAACCCAAACCCACTGACCTTGTGAGACACTTGAGAACAAGGATTGGGTTTTATTATTTTCAAATCATCCTTCTCACAAGAGCATTACAGAGTAACATACATTGTAGGAATTTAACAAGCACGAGATAAATGAAGGAAGGAGTGAATAAGTGAATAATACGCATCAACAGAGAATGTTAACTATCTCGCTTCTCCAAAGAAGGATCTGGCTTTGAGGATATTTGGTGACTGAGGAACATCTCCAAAGACAATTTGCCATGCATAAAAAAATTACTCAAAGAAATACCATATCATTTTGAATCTAAACTTGAATCTTACTTAAACTGAATAATAGAGCAAACCTATATGGATTATAAGACATCGACAGAAAAAAAAACAAATTATAAATTTATTTTCAAAAATGCTTTATCATTTTCAAAGGCAATGACTACATGATACTTTCCAAGACAGACCAACAGCTCCTTATGTAGCTCTAGGTCCACTCAGGGATAGAAAATGAATTCAGGCTGAGCGCGGTGGCTAACGCCTATAATCTCAGCACTTTGGGAGGCCAAGGCAGGTGGATCACCTGAGGTCAGGAGATCAAGACCAGCCTCGTCAACATGGTGAAATTAGCCAGGCATGGTGGTGGGCGCCTGTGATCCCAGCTACTTGGGAGGCGGAGGCAGGAGAATTGCTTTAACCCGGGAGGTGGAGGTGGCAGTGAGCACTCCAGCCTGGGAGAGAAAGGGTAAGACTCTCTCTCAACAAAAGAAAGAAAATAAAAGGAAAGAAAAAAATAAAGATAAAATGAATTGAGAGTGAAGACACTTAGGACTTAGGGAAAGAAAATCTGAATAATTGCCAGTTAAAGATCAAATTCGGAGAAAATAAAACATTAGTACAATAAGAACATAAATTAGAAAAAGGATGTTAGAAGTCAGATCCTTGTGCATTAATTTAACAGGCTTTCCTCTAACACAGAAAGTTTACCTTACAGTATAACGACACTGACAACTGGTGGCTGGACTGTTAGCTGTGACTACACTCCTGCAATGAAATTGAAAGTGTGCTGTTGATAACAGCTGAGCTTTACACATACGGGCAGACAAGGTGTGTATGTGTGTTACTGCAGACAGCGGATGCTGGAGAAAAGCCTTCTGAGATTACTCAGTCTACTTTCTGCCTCTAGTAGCCACAGCCAAAATGAGAGGGGTAATTGACTGCTTTGCTTGGAGGAGATGACAGGCAAGCAGCTTATTTTTGAAGGTCTCTACTGAAAAGGCTGTCTTGCTGTACATTTACAGAATTAAAAGTCAGAAGCCAGATTCCTTTTAATTCTAGTGCTCACTGTGATCATTCTTAATCACCCCTTATATGGAGTTTTGGAGAGGTAGTTGAAACAACTAATAAAATAATCTTCCAAAGGTGGACTGTGATTAATATGTTATTAAAAACATTATTCAGGAATGATTTAAGGGATTTTTTTAGATATAATGCTAATACTACTTATTATAAGCTTCAAATGGAGTCAACCATAGTGTTGTTAGAATGATGTTGGAAAATAAAATAATGGAAACCAATTTCACTTTATTAAAAGATAAAATATTGCTTATTTCTTTCTTTGGCTTCTTCTGTGCTATAAACTATGTAAGTGCATGCTATTAAGTTCTATGGGTTTTCTTTTTATAAGAAGCCTGGTGTTACTGCTGGGAGGCATCATAAAATGGCACTCACAAACATTCTTTTGCATCTCATCTTATACAAAGACATTTTTATACAACGGATTCACACTTCCTGTTAGTATATATCAATTTGTCAATTTCAACACAACCGATCTCTTTCTGATTCTGCCAGTTACACACATTTCACCATCCACTGCATTTCAGTGCTTTGATCCCATTAAGTCACATATTGCAATTTAGTAGAACACTTACTTCATCTTTAAATACCTTTCCATGTTCTTCACACCCAGGTAAGCTCTGTATAAATTCTGACACCTGTAAAGTAGCATCAAAATTCCCAGTTAAAAAACAAAACAGTCAGAATCTAAATGCTACAGGTTCAAAACATTTAACTTATATGTACTAGTTATTTCTCTCAGAATAATTTCTTCTCTTTCAGGAAAAAAAAAAAAAGACTAAACACTACCTACGATCAATGTTCCACATCTCTTAAGCCAGTACTCCTGTATCTGGTGTCTGGCTGACAAAGAAAATAAAATATACCTCATCTGTGCTCCATTTGGAAACTTTACTGGCAGGGATTCCAGCAACAGTTGGAAGAAGTTTGCTTTGCTGCTCCCAGCGCAAGGGCAGACATGGAATTGGGGACTTAAAGGACAGAAAGACAGCCGACCGACGCTGTGCCTGCTGGATGGTGGGTTCCTCCCGGGTACCTGGTCAAAGAAAACAAATGGGAAATCACTCTCTGAAAACAGCAAGAAAGCCTCCGAATGCGGTGCATCTCCCAGATAATGAGACTGGGGATGGGGGTAGTTAAAGTGTTGGTTCCTTTCAGCATGATACCCTTGACTAGGCTTTTCTTTGTCTTTACGGAAGGTCACTATAAAAAAACACCTGTAAATTCAACCGATATTATTTACTGTAGCACTCGTTGCTAAAGACATGCTTCATTATGCTGTTCAATGTTGCCTCTTTCTTCAGATAAGAAATGTTCCTCAAAGTTTTAAGGACAAGGGAAGTAAGTCTCATCCTAGGAAGTTGTATGAGTTCCCCTTTCCGCTCTGGATGTGGTAAAGGTAACAGCCCAGGTGCATCTCAAGTCCAACACCTGTGCTGACCACGTATTCACAGTCACTGTACTTGTTCTCTCCTTTTGCTTCAGGCTTGGTTTGTTTTTTCAATTCTTATTTAATAATCACACTGATTTTTTTATATAGCCAATTTAATTTTTTGACAGGAATAAGAAATTATTGTAATAAAAATAAAACAGCAAACTGCAAATGCTTTTGTCATTTTTTATTTGTTCAGATCAAAATTAAAACTACTAAATATTCTTACTGTAGCCTGGGCAACAGAACAAGGTGCCATCTCTTAAAACAAAACCAAAACGACTGAATATTCTATTTCTGTGTTAGAGCTTCTGAATCCAAACCTAGTTTATGGCTGCTTTCCTAAAACAGTCATTCTCTAGCAGAGAATTTTTGTGCTCTAGATGCTTGACTTAGAGCTGTCAATCGTCATCTCATTATGGTCCTTTGGACTGTAAGTCCTTTAGACCACCACCTTTGTGAAACCTTTTCTGAAAACTCCACATTCAAAGCACCTCAGAAGAAAGGCACCTCCCCTACATTTCCTCGCCGCTCACACACCAGCTTAGTTACAAGGACAACTCAATTCCATCACAAATCCTTGCTTTTGTATCTCTTAAGAGTTACAGAAAGGTGCACAAATGATTAAGTATAAATTTTAGCTCACTGAATTTTAACAAAGTGAACACATCCATGTAACCAACACCCTGATCAAAAACAAAACGTAGCCAGCACACCCTTCCAATCACACCTCACCTGTCAAGGGTGACCGCTTCCTTGACTATTAACACCATAGATTCATTTACCTTCTTTTGAATTGTATTTAAAATGGAAATTGGGTATCTGACTTCTTTCTCTAAACAGCAAGTTTCTGAGATTCATCCACATTGTTGTGAGTAGTAGAAGTTACCTTCTCTTTGTTGAATGGTTTTTCATGGCTGTGAATACTCTATAATTAATTTGGAGATCATGAATAATGAGCATTTGAGTTGTTTTTAATTTGGGGCTTTTACAAACAGTGCTATTATAACATTCTTGAACAGATTATTTTGTCAGAAGTGTTTGAACCTGAGCAACTCCATCTTTAATAGGGCTGGATAAAATGAGGCTGAGACCTACTGGGCTGCATTCCCAGACAGCTAAGGCATTCTAAGTCACAGGATGAGACAGGAGGTGGGGACAAGATACAGGTTATAAAGACCTTGCTGATAAAACAGCCTGCAGTAAAAAAGCCAAACAAAGCCCACCAAAGCCAAGTGACCTCTCGTTGTCCTCACTGCTACGCTCCCACCAGCACCATAACAGTTTACAAATGCCAGGTTAACACCAGGAAGTTACATGATATGGTCTAAAAAGGGGAGGCATGAAGAATCCATCCCTTGTTTAGCATATAATCAAGAATTAACCATAAAATTGGGCAAGCAGCAGCCTTCTGGGCTGCTCTACCTATGGAGTAGCCATTCTTTATTCCTTTCCTTTCCTGATAAACTTGCTTTCTCACTTTACTCCATGGACTTGCCCCAAACTCTTTCTTACACGAGATCCAAGAACCCTCTCTTGGGGTCTGGATTGGGACCCCTTTCTGGTAACAATTTCTTGAACATATCTATGCATTTCCATTGCATATATACCAAAGGGTGAAACTTTGAGGTCACAGCATTTGTGTACTTTAAGCTGTGGTAAATCCTGCCAGCTCTCCAAAACAATGGCACAATATATACCTACGCACAGCAAATGACAGTTCAGATTACTGCACCTCCACACCAATGCTTGGTAAAGTCTATCTTTTTCTTTTTAACCATTATAGTGGGTGTACAGTGGTATCACATTATGTTTACAATTCGATTTGATGACTAATGATAATCTTTTCCTATGTTTATTGTCCACAGAGTGGCTCTTTTTTTTTTTTTTCCTGAGACGAAGTCTTGCTTTGTTGCCCAGGCTGGAGGGTAATGGCGCAATCTTGGCTCACTGCAACCTCCACTTCTTGGGTTCAAGTTATTATCCCGCCTCAGTCTCCCAAGCAGTTGGGATTAAAGGCACCCACCACGACACTTGGCTAATTTTTCTATTTTCAGTAGAGGCGGGGTTTCATTATGTTGGCCAGGCTGGTCTCAAAATCCTGACCTCATGATCCACCCGCCTCAGCCTCCCAAAGTGCAGGGATTAGAAAGCGTGAGCCACCGTACCCAGCGAGAGGCTCTTTTGTAAAAGGCTTATTCCTGTTTTATGTCCTTTTTTTTTTTAATTGGGTTGTCTTCCTTTTTCCTTACTGATTTATAGATGCTGTCTATATATATTCTGGGTAGAAGTCCTTTGTTGGAAATATGTATTACAAATATCTCCTCCCATTCTGTGTCTTCTTTTTTACTTTCTTAATAGGGTCTTTTGAATAACAGAAGTAACTGTAATAATTCTAATTTGTTAATTTTTTCTCTTATGGTAAACATCTTGTATGTCTGTTAAAAAAACTTTTGCTTATTCCAAGATCACATAGAGAGTTTTCTCTAAATGCTTTCAGTTCTACCTTTCATGCTTAGATCTACAATCCATCTGATATTTATGTTTTGTGTATATATTAGGTAATAATCAATATTCATAGATCTTTTTCACATAGAGTTTTAATTGCCCCACCATGATTTATTGAAAAGACCGTCCTTTCCCCACTGTATTGCAGTGCTAGTTTTAACATAAATATAAATGTCTTTCAGATTCTCTATTTTGTCCCACTGGTCTCTTTATCCCAATCCACAGCTTTAATTACTATCACTTCGTAAGTATACTGATGTCCATGAAGTAGGTCTTCTGCAAGATCACCATGGCTATTGCATTTTCATATCAATTTTACAATTAGCTTTTTTTTTTTTTAAATGCTAAGATTTAGATTAGGGTTTCCATCAAATAAATTTCTACTAGACAAATTTCCAGTAGATAAATTTGGTTAAGAAATGACTTCTTTACAATTCTGAGTCTTCCAATCCATGAAGAAGCTAAATCCCTCAATTTCCTTGGCTTTTCTTTAACATCTCTCATTAATTTTTTTGCCATTTTCAGGTAGAGATCTCATGCATCTTTTGTTAAATGTTTTCCTATGTATCAGGTGTTTCCTGAAACTGTTATAAATGGTACAATTTTTAAAAATTTATTTCTTATTGTTCTGTTACAGTTTTCTAATAAGTTTATTCTTAAACTAGCCTAATCTAAAATTTAAATTATTCTGAATACTAGAAGGTCACTATGCTGAGTCAAAAACCTATTTTATTGGAGCTAACACCCACTGGTTCTGGTTCTACCTCACTAAGCTCATACAGAAAAATTCTAGCGTCTGCTCCACATGAAACATTTCACATCTTCAAACATTTTTTAAAAAGCCATCATTATCCCTCTTTCCAGATTTCATTCAATCAAACTCAAAGGTACAGGTCCTCATCCCACTTTATTGAATGCCTATTATGAACCAAATATATAAACCAGGAACAGTTTGTTTTGATTCTCTTTTTTCTTTTTGAATTGTCCAGAGTTTAAGGAATTTTTATGTAGTAAAATACAGGATAACGTAAAAACATCTTTTTAATCTCATATATTCTCAAGAGCTTAGTTGTTAATTGAAATACAATATTTGTACATATTTTACAAGACAGCCTTATGTAAGATGGCAAGATTTCCAATTCTACACTAGAGTAGAATAGGGCTTACATTATAATTTGTATCCTGAGTGCTTGACATATAATTAGTCTTTTCCAAAGCCATAGTCTTCATCCTATTACTGTTTATGTTCTATTAACACTCAGCACTCTTCATTTGATCACGGCAGACCCACTCTATTTTCATTTTATTTTCTTCTAAAAGCTGTATTATTCACAATTCATTTCTAATGTTCCTAACATTGTTCCTTAGAAAAATAATGAACCCATTCTAAGGAAATGACTAAAAACCCAAATCCCCTATATTTGTGGTCACCTCTGCATGTCTTTAAACCTGATACTATAAATAGGCCTAGAGATATATACTCTTCCAATGCTAGTACCAACTCTGCATGCTTCGCATTAAGACTTTCCTTCCTTTTGCTGGGTCTTCTGTGCTAACTGATGGTACCAGCCACAGAGCATGCCATCTCCTATGATTTTAATTCAAAAGGAATAAAGAAAGCAACTTCATTTGAGCTAATTTGTACTGCATTCCTTGAATTCCACAGACAAGGACTCCAGGTTTTTATTTTAACATGTTATGATACAGGCTAAAATAAATGCAAATAGACTCTGGCTCCAGCAGCTGGTTCAGTGCCAAGAGTAAGGAAGAGTAGGTTTAAATGTGCACAATATGCCTCACGAAGCACAGCCTCAGGTTATAAAGACATTTCAGACAACGTACTTTGCCTAGGACAGTATCTCTCACCATCCTCTCAAACCACAAACACGCATGGAAAAGAAAACTTTTCAAGAAGTTTTCTACATTTCTGAAGTTTCCTGTGATAACTGACCAAAGGTATGTGGTGAAACTCTTCTCCCTCGCATCACTTGGTTTCAGGTTATGCATCTCCACAATGAGTAAAAATGTTTTAGGCTGGCTGGGAATAACCAAAATTACCATATCGAAGGAATGGTCATCCTTCCTGATTCTCGATC